GTATATTCTGGTCATTATGGACCATTTCACAAGTTCAGCTAAGTTTACCCACAACAAACAAAGCTGAAAACTGTTGAAGACAAGATATTCAGTGACTATTCCTTGCAATTTGGATTCCCCACAGGCTTCATCATGATCAGGGGAAAGAGTTCGAGAACCAGCTCTTCCAACAACTGCAGAAGCTGTGCGGCATCTCCCCTTCAAGAACGACACCTTACCATCCCCAAGGCAATAGACAGGTGGAACATTTTAATCATACAGTACGTTGCTAGGGATGCTGCACACCCTCCCTGAGGAAGACAAGGCCCATCAGAAGGATTCTGTAGACAAAGTGGTACATGCCTATAATTGTACCCGATCTGAGGCAACAGGTTTCTCCCCCTTCTGTCTTCACTATGGACGCCATCCTCAACTCTCCATAAACCTTGCCTTTGGCCTTGGACAAGACACAGCATGGTCCAAGGACTACCATGACTACCATAGCAGATGGAAGAGACAGATGAAAGAGGCTTATGAACATGCGAGACACAGTGTAAGCAAGTCGGCAACCCGTAGGAAGCGGGAGTTTGATAGAAAGGGGAACAACCCTGTCCTACAACCAGGTGACAGAGTACTCATAAGGAATCTGAACTAGACTGGGGGCCCAGGAAAGCTGCGGGTCTACTGGGAGAAGAAAGTCCATGTCGTTCGTCGGCGAGGAGATGATTTCCCTGTCTCTGAGCTTCTTCCAGAAGACAGCAAGGGATGCAGCGGAATGCTTAATGGGAACGTGCTTCTGCCCTGTGATGAACTCAGCAGCAAGCCTTTCCCAGCAACTAAGACATTTCGTCAACAGCTGGCATGACAGACTAGGTGACAGGAAGGGGCAAACATGCCAGAAGACACTGACAGCGACTCTGATTGTTCAGATGAGATCATGATCCACCCTCAGTCTGGTAATCAACAACCAGAAGGCACTTCTCCTCTAAACTTAGGAGCAAAGCCGTTTCTCCCCATACAGCACCTAGATCCCACTCTAGAACCTGCTCCTGAGACCATGCCAGAGACTGTTTCAGAACCTGCTCCAGAGACTGTTCCAGAACCTGCTCTTGAGACCATGCTAGATGCCACCCCAGAATCTGTACCTGGAGCCTTTCCAGAGACTGCCCCATAACCAGTCTGAAGCTCAGTCTAGCCCAGTTCCTCAACCAGCCCCTGACTCAATCTTTGATCCAGTAAACAATGCCCGAGAAGGGAGGCCTGAGCGCCAGACAAACTGACCCCCTCCCTCTGGGAGCACAGACATGCACCCTTGACAGATTGATGATGGAGAATGTTTCCCGACAAGAGAGAGGAAACCACCCCAGAATTTGTCCTACGATCAGTTGGGCCAACCCCACCACGAGCCAGCACTCAACAAAGTCAGAAACAGTTACCCACTGATGAGCCTCCTTACATAACTGAGTTGGACCCCTCCGATGGCTCCATCATACCCTGCTCCAGTGTGGCCTACTTACCCCATGCAGTGGCCTGCTTGAGTGATGATGCCTTGGCAGATACCCCAGATGCAGACCCCACCATGGCAACTGGGATATGCTACACCAACCTGTCTTTATTGAATGACATTGAACTGAGTGAGATAGTTATCATTTTTGTTTGTCACAGAAATGTTGAGGGCAACATCCTTTTTTTCAGGGGAGAGTTTAGAGGCTATGGACAGATAGTTATTATTCACTGTTTGTCAGAGCCAGAGCTTTCCATTGTTTATTTGAGGCCCCCTACATTTTTTTCATGTACAGTTTTAAGTACTTTCTACCACTATTTGGTGCTTAGCTGTGGTGTGCAACATAAAACAGCCAGAGAGTTTCCAGCTTAAACACTTCTTGTGGAGGCAGGACACTGTGGCCATGTGGTGGAAGCCATTGTTCTCTGAGTCATTCTGACTCCACGCTTTGAGAGAGTTACATTGCGCCACACCACAGCTCACACAGTGTTTGCCTGATCTGTTTTATTACAGTTGTCACCTTTTGGAGTCGAAGATTTAATGTGCCCCCCCCAAGTGATTCCATTCTGAGTCACCTGGGGTGCAACATATGTACATCACTCACTACAAGCGATCCCACATACTTTTTCTTGTGCTCAACAGTCATATAAACTTTTGCATGTAATGTTTGTTTAATCAAAATGACTTTCAAAGTTGCTGTTTTATTGAAACTGGCCAAAAAAGTGAAGGCATATTGTTTCCTAGTCAGGATCATACATTAGAAAGTGCATGCATGCAATATATGTTGCAAACTCAACTTACTCTACGGACGTTGCAGAAATGTATGTGAGGTAATGGGTTCGTGAACTGAGCGACACAAGGTAGTATCGTTTATGGCTCATGCTGTGCAGCAGAAAAAGTTAAGTTGAAATTACTCAAGATCCCCTTTTTAATTGATTGGAATTCTTATTTATAAACAAATTTTTTCAAATTTTCTTTCTTGCATGATTACTTTCCGAAAACTGATCCAGAACATGGAAAAGTGTCGTCGCCACTTTCGACGAACCTGTACAGTTACAATATTGGAAATTAATTTGGTAGTATCTGTAACTCACAAGGTGGACGACTGACCACATTTCACTGGAATTTGAGGATTTTTTTATGGCTGCAATGTGACTGAATAATTTTTGCAATCTGGAACTGGAAAAACGACTATTATGTGAAGAGATCTCTTTTTCGAGTTGTCCTAATGGACAACTTGGCAAACTATTGAGTTGTCTGAACAGTCAAGTTAGCCAAAGTTAAGTTGGCAAACAGTCGAGTTGTCTGACATCCATATATAGCAGCAACAGAGCATGGTGTCAAAACGTCATGCTGTTATCATGTCCATTTAAATGAAATTTGCGCTTCGGCTTGACATATTTGTAATGCACATGCGTAGCAACATACTTGAGGCTGAAAATTTAAACTCAAGCTTACAAACATAACAAGGGTTGCAGCAGTGTTGGCCTAATCGAAAGCGAGTCATCTGATTTTGCAATTGCAGGAAAAATGAAATTAAAAGTGGCAATTTTGTTTTGTTTGTGCAATGCTTCTAGAACTGTTCAGAAAAACCTTAGTTTTTAACCTGGGCAAACTTGCAAACGGGGGAAATTAAACAGTTAACATTTTTTTGCTGAATGAAACAGAAGGGCCGAAAGATGAATCAGTGTGCATCCATAAACTTGTAGAACAGAAATTTGAAACTGAACAACAAAATGGTGAAATCATCGAAATGGATCATGAAATTACAGAATCAAAGGGTGAATCTGGACAAACTTGAATGGTGCACACTGCACTGTCGAATTGAGTAACGATGCCTGAGAGGAAAGTAAAGTTACTGACTGGAAAGGTCCCATTGCAGGATTGAATGATGAAATTGCCAAATTACGTGGTGAAAATGATGAGTTAAATTCTGAAATTGGGGAATTGAATGGTGAAATCATCAATGGAACACGAACCTAACTGTAAAACGAAAGGTTATGATTAACAAAACCAACGCTGTACTTGTATTTGCTACCGAAGATAGCAACAGCATTCCATAAAATCATGTAGGCATCAGTCTCTCTTTCTCTTCACCAAGTCATCTTCAATTAAAAATTAAATTTAAATATGACCATCTTTCGATAATTAAGTTTGACATTTGACACCAATGCTGATTCTGTTGCACATTTGCTGCACTTGAATGAATTGCATTTTACACGGCAGAAGCGTTTGACGCAGGCCTCACTTAGCTGGAGGAGATGTTGATCTCTTGCATCTGTTGTCCTAACACCATGTGGGCTAGTGACATCTATGCAGGTGCCACAGTCAGGTCTGATGCAAGCACTGAAATCTCTAAGGAGGACGAAAGCATCTTCAGGAGGATTATTATTCCAGAACTCACTGATCTGAAGATGGAAGTCATCTTTAGACTCCGAGCTAGAAGCTAGGGTACATGTACGTGCATAAGCGGAGGTCAAGGAGATGTAGCCCGAGCTTAGACCCTTCATAGAGACATGTGGCAAGGGGAGATGTATGGGAGTACCATCGATCTGGATACATTTTCCCAAAATGCCCACCATGCTGGGCATCAGAAGCTGAATAGCAAGACTGTTGAGAGCCATTGTGATTAAAAGTTGCCAAGCACTAAGACTGAAGGGGTAAGAGAGTGATGTTTGTCAGGGACAGTCGAGTCTGACGGAATGCAGAGGGCATGACGGCAGGAATGAATGGAGACCAATCTGCAGTGTGAAACACTGCATTAACTAGTCATTGGCTCCCTTTGAGCTTATCCACTCAGTGGGCTGCCAGGTATCCAAAAAGCAGGATGCGCACTACTGCCAGCCCCTGTGGCTGACAGGTGTTGACTACCTG